GGTTGATCAGATCTAGTGGCGGTAGTTGGAGATTGGTTGAACAACTTGCAAGAACCCCTCCTGACAAGAACTGGGCGTCCTCTCCTACTATAACCCTTGAACTCCTCAAGAAACCTTAGCCTGCTCAGTTCATCACTTCCTCCACCGGCTCTACAGGAGACCAGATTGAGAACCTAACTTACAAAGCCTGGCGTATCCAAGACCAACTTCTACTAAGTTGGATCTTATAGAGCATGTACTCTCTCAGGTAGTAGGATGCACTACCTCTCATCAGGTCTGGTCTTTACTAGAAACCACTTATGCACCAAAATCAAAGGCTCGTATCATGCACTATGTTTTGAGTTAAATGCTCTAAAGAAAGGGTGCTTGTCTATGAGTGATTATCTATTTAAAATAAAGAATATTGCTAATGCACTCTCAGCAGTAGGAGAACCATTGTCTGACTCTGATCTTGTCTATTAGACTATAGAAGGTCAGTCATCTGAATATGAGAGTTTTACTACTGTAGTACTCACCCGACCAGATGGTATTTCTTATGACATTCTACACAACCTACTCTTACAACATGATCTTACACTTGAGCGAACCAAGAAGATTCAAGAACTTGCAGTATCAGCCAACATGGCATACAAATATAAAGGAAATCGGCCCAACACTCCCAACACTCCATTTGGAAGGTCTGAAAAAGGAGAAGAATCAGAAATCCAACTCAAATCCAAGTCGCAGATACAAAGGTAGTCCTTGCCAAATCTACAAACTACCTAATCACTCTGCTCTTACATGTCGCAGCAGATTTGATGCATCTATCAAATATACCCCCAAACGAGCACTTGTCTACAACACTGAAGCCTCATAACCTCTATCAAATCAACACTCATCTGTTGATCTCTACTGGTATCTTGATTCTGGAGTGACACACCATGTCACCAATGATTTGCATAATCTTAAACTTCACTTAGAGTACATGGGCCCAGATCAACTAAAAATTAGCAATGGCACGGATTTGAAAATCAATCATATTGGTACCTCATCTATTCCAAGTTCTAATAAGAATATAGTTCTCAAAGATACTCTTCATGTTCCAGATATCACTAAGAACCTTTATCTGTTGCACGGTTCACCATTGATAATGATGTTTTCTTTGAATTTCATCCCTCTAATTTCTATGTGAAGGATTGGAAGTTGAAGACAACTCTATTGGAAGGAACCACTGACCGTGGACTTTACAAACTTCATCTCCCAAAAGCCAATACCAGTCCTGTTGCACATCTCAGTGAAAGAGTAGATCTGAATACTTGGCATCAGTATTTAGGGCATCCGGCATTTAGAATAGTGAAGCAAGTTGTATCTGAGAATAAGCTTCCTATAACTTCCAATAAAGATTTATCATTCTGTTCAACATGTTAGTTAGGAAAGAGTCACTGTTTACCTTTTCTCCCTAGCAATTTCAAGGTAGTAGAACCATTGGAACTTGTGTACTCTGTTCTATGGGGACCAGCCCTTGTGATGTCTAGACATGGTTTCAATTACTATATTAATTTTATTGATTCTTTTAGTAAATTCAGTTGGATTTTTCCTCTTGCTCACAAGAATGATATTGCTTCTACATTTATTATATTTAAGAATCAAGTTGAAAATATGCTGAATAGAA